AAAGAGTGAGGGGGGATTTGATAGCAGCCTTCAACATCCTGAAGGGGGGTTCCAGAGAGGATGGAGAGAGGCTGTTCTCAATAGTGACGGATGCAGAACAAGGAGCAATGGTCTCAAGTTACAGTGGGGGAGGTCTAGGGTGGATATTAGGAAAAACTATTTCCCTAGGAGGGTGGGGAAGCACTGGGACGGGTTCCCTAGGGAGGGGGTGGAATCTCCATCCCTAGAGGTGTTTAAGTCTTGGCTTGACAAAGCCGTGACTGAGTTGATTGAGTTGGGTTGGTCCTGCCTTGGGCAGGGGGCTGGACTGGATGATTCCTGAGAGCTCTTCCAGCCCTAGGATTCTAGGATGCACTACGTGCCCTGGGAATCTGCCCTGGCTGATGTTCCTTCCGGAGGCAGAGGCCTGAACATCCCTGGCTTTCAAGTGTGTCAGAATCAGAGATGGGCCTAAGAAGGAACCCCAGAGCCCTCCCCGCCCTTGATCTATGCTCAGCTCGGGGCCTAGAGTCGAATGCAGGGCCACGTATGCCCCAACGTTCAGCTCTTCATGTGCACGGTTCTGATGATCAGGCCCCATTTGTGGGTTGCTGGCTCGTTATTAAATCTGGGCACTCGCGAGTTGAGCCTGCATTTACACCAGGCCCCCAGCCCCTCCCCATCTGAACACCGGGGAAGCTACGTCCAGACACTCAAAGGTGTCAAGGCCCCTAACTCCCGATGGCTTTAGTGTCTGAGCCTTCGTGTTTGGATCTGAAGCTGGAGTGACCATGGCAATTGAGGGCCTGTCTATCCAGCCCGGGATGCAGCTCTAGCTGGTTGCATTCTGGGGGTTCAATGGGGCCCGTTCCAGCCGACTGCAAACACGCCAGGCGAGTCTCCCCGACTGCCTGATGCAAAGACAAAGGTGAGGCCCTGCCTGAACCCAGATGCCTTGTTCTGGGAACCTCCCTCCCCTGGTACCACTGCAGATGCTGCTTTCTGGATATACGGGAGCCCAGCTTGCCAGGCAGTGCTGCATGCGGACAGCTCCCCAGTGGGATGCTGAGGGTCCGTCTGCACGTCAGCCCCTGCAGAGAGTCAAAGCTGCTGCTCCTTGCACCAGCAGGAGGGTTCTCCCGTCGATGTCGGGAACTCTCCTCCCCAGGAGACGGGAGCTGTGTCAGCGGAAGGATTCTCCAGCCGACCTAGCGCTGGGGGTCAGATCAGCTTAACCACGTCTCAGGGGGAGGCCCGCTCGCACCCCGCAGCGGCGTAGCTTTACTAGTGAAAGGTCCTGGGGGGGAGCAGCCCACGCCTGCGGTGTCCATGCACAGCCGCCCACCATGCCCCCTGCATGCTGCTCTGACCCTCCCGCTAACCGCCCCGGTCCTGCTCTCCCCCCAGCCTCCACGCTCTCCCAGCTCTCGGACAGCGGGCAGACCCTCAGCGAGGACAGCGGGGTGGACATCGGCGACACGGAGCTGAGCGGCAAGGACAGGAGCCGGCAGCAGATCCCTGGGAGATGCCGAAGCCCCAAGGAGGCCCCGAGAAGTGACCGTCCAGCAGAGGCAGCCTCCAAGCCGGTGAGGCACCCAGTCAAGCTGGCCGGGCAGGGGGGCTCACCTGGGCATCGCAGACACAAGCATCACACACCCCATGCCTGATGGGGAGGCGGGAGTAGAAACCAGGGGTAGAGGTGTGACAGCAACTTTGAGCTAGGTCAGCGGCGGGCAACCTGCAGCCTGGGGTCGCATGCAGCCCATCGGGGTTCTGTGTGTGGCCCATACACCTCCCTCGGCCCCATCTCCCACTTCTCTCGTGCACTGGGGGCCTTGTACTTACCCACTCCTCCCCCGCCCTCCCAGTCCTTCGAGACCACCACGGATCTGCTGATTCGCGGCATTTAAGCTCTGAGAGGTGGGGGGGAGGAGCCAAAACCAGCTGGGCTTGGGAGAGGCAGCAGGGGAGAGGCCAGGCCGGGATTTGATATTATAAACGTTTCCCTTTTTTATTCTCTGGAGTTGCTGACAGTTCTATTCTTATATGAATGGCTGACGCATTCCTACTGGTTTGGAAACATTCGGCGTGCCCTGCATTCATGTATTTAATCTTAGCTGCGGGGGCTTGGTGAGTTCACACGTAGGGGTGCCGGGTGTCCAGTTTTGAACAGGACCATCCAGTATTTGAGCTTTCTGTTCGGGAAACAAATTGAGAAAATAGAAATGAGACAATAGAACTGTCCAGTGTTTTCTAAATCAGAGGGGATGTAGATTGGGGGGATGACTAGCTCAGTGGTTTGAGCAGTGGCCTGTTAAACCCAGAGTTGTAAGTTCAATCCTTGTGGAGGCCATTTAGGGATTTGGGGCAAAAATTTGTCAGGGATGGTACTTAGTCCTGCTGTGAAGGCAGGGGACTGGACTCAATGACTTTTCAAGGTCCCTTCCAGTTCTAGGAGATAGGCAATCTCTATTAATTTATGCCATGCCAAGCGCATTCAATATTTTTGTTGAACCCATCTGGCAACCCTATGCACACGGTAGATTTCCATCTGGCAGCCACCGAGACAGAGGAGGGCCACTCCCGAGCCGCACTTGCCCATGGCTGATCTAAGTCGACCCTCTCGCCACGCCACAGCGCTGTGGCCAGCTGCCCAAGCCACGCGTCCCCACGTCCCAGGCAGGATTGTACCATCCAGGCTGCTACCTGGTCACAGCTCTTGAGTCTCTAGCTCGAAACTCGCTTGCAGCCGCCACACTCACACCCCACGTGCGCTGGGGACGTCCCACTCCCCTTAGTGGGCAGGCGTTGCCCCGGAGATGTCGGAGTGGGCAGCATTCACTGGCCCAGCCTCCCGAGGGCAGGACTGGTCCTTCACGCACATGCTGAACCCACACAGCTGGCCGTGGCTTTAGCAGGGGCCACGGGTGCCTGCAGGGGGAGGGAGGACCGGGTGGGCTGTGGCATGTCTGGATGCTACTCAGCGAAAGCCCGCCCCTCTCCTCCCCGCAGCCTGCCACTGATCCCCGTGCTGGGCGTGCAGTGTGTGTCTCCACACGCTGACGTAGGGAGCCTGCAGTGCGGACGGGCCCCTACCCACAACAGCGGGCGGGGACGGGCCAGCCTTTGTGGCACGAAGGGGCTGGCTGCCTCACTGGGATGCAGAGGGAGCCACGGGGCTGGCAGCCTTTCGGAGACCATCTTGCTGCTCCCACAAGGCTGCAACATCCCCCTGCGGCTGCGGAGCCGAGATCCCTGCAGCTCAGAGGCCCCTGGACTGGGGAGTCGCAGCAGCCAATCAGCACGTCCCGCTGCTCGTCCCATCAGTCACTGCAGGGCCGTGGCCAGAGGGACCCCAGGATCCTCGTTCCTCTGCCAAGGAAAACTCGCCAGGCTGGGAAGGGTTAACCTGCCTGCCTAGGGGCCCCCAGGAAGTCGGGTCTCTCAGGGGACGGGGCAGGATGGCTTGGGGAGGCAGCTCCAGCCCCCATCAGCCACGTTGCTGTCTCGCCTTCCACAGCCCGGCCTCCTGGAGCCCACCTCGTGTCTGATTCGAGTGGCGAAGAGCGCGCCCACCCTGGGGATCGCCATCGAGGGCGGGGCCAACACCCGGCAGCCTCTGCCCCGGATAGTCACCATACAGGTACGGCAGGCTGAGAACGGGAGAACCTCGGTGCCAGTGCTTCCCCGGGGCTCTGTGCTCTGACAGGTCCCGTGAGATTTCACACCCGGGTTCCTCTACCCGGGACACGCCCAGAATCCAGCCTCCTTCCCCCGCTGGGCCTATCGCTCCCCACCAGCAGATGGAGACAGAGTGCTGACTCCATCGTCCCCGTCACTTCTCCCCGTCTCCAGCAGAGGGCGAGCGTGTTCTCTGGGACGGGAGAGTCAAAGCCAGCGAGGTGCAGGAGAGACGGCTCGCCGGGCAGTTCCCCTAGGGGGCCACACTGGGACGGGAGGAGATTGTAACTCCGGGTCTGTCTGCACCAGCGGCGGGCAATAATTTTCACGGTGGGAGGGGAAGAAATAATAATTTTGGTACATGGTCATGGGCCAGTTCCACCTCCAGAAGGGGGAGGGGCCAGGGGCAGAAGGGGAGGAGCCTGGGAAGATGGGGCAGGGCTGGAGACTAGCCTCCCCCTAGAGTTGTAGCAGCAATTTAAAAAGCTTGTGGCTCCAGCCCCTGCAGGGGTAGCACCACAACTGGGAGCCAGGAGCCATTTAAGTAGGATCCTGCTGCCTGAGCCATTGCCTGGAAATTCGGTGGCATAGGCAGCAGGATATAACTAGGAAGGAGCCAGATGCCATCTGCGGGCTGGATCAAAGTGTTAGGCAGGCAGGATCCAGCCCCCGGGACGCTTCTTGCCCAGCCCTGGTCTACACAGACACTTAGTCCAGGGCACGCTGCACTAGCGTGCTGAGCATGAAGGGTCCATCTGGACCCAGCCACACACTAAGCGTTCCATAGTCCACTTTGACCTACTCCAGTTTCCAAGGGAGGTAGCTCAAAGCGCAGGAAGGACCTGCTAGGGAACGTCGACACAGCAGCGCCCTTTCAGAATCACTGACATTATTCCAAATGAACTAAGAGCGCGTCAACACAACGAGCCTTTCTTTCGAAATAACATCGAGCTGGAGAGCTTCTTACTCCGACTCCTGTAACCCTCATTGCACGAGGAGGAAGAGAGTCCTTCCTTCGACTTCCTGCTGTGCAGCCAGCGCCAAAAGCCCAGTTAAGCTACTTCGACTTCAGCTACGCAATTAACAGAACTCAAGTTGTGTAGCTTAATTCGGCTTTAGCCCTGCTGGGTGGATGTACCCTGAGTGCACGGTAGCAGGTCCACATGGACACTTAGCTCGCGGCAGGCAAGTTGGGGGTAGACTCACGCCCCAGTCTGTCTTGCACTCAGTGTCCATGACCAGCGGTTCCCAACCAGGAGTCTTCCTGGGGGTACATCAGCTCATCTAGATACTTGCCTAGTTTTTCAAAGGCTACATAAAAAAGCACTAGCAAAGTCAGTACAAACAAACTTTTCTTGCAATGACTCATTTATGCTGCTCCATACACTACGCACTGAAATGTAAACATAATATTTCTATTCCAATTGATTTATTTCATAAATATACAGTAACAAGGGGGCTACGTCCGCGGCTCGCTATACTCGCCAATCCTCTTCTCTCTTGCCTCTTTCGTGGCCAGGAAGCATGAGGGTGTGATGACGTCATTATGTCGCTCAGTAAGAAAAACTTTTTTATAGACAAAACAAAAAGCAGGACAATGTAGCACTTTAAAGACTAACAAGATGGTTTATTAGGTGATGAGCTTTCGTGGGCCAGACCCACTTCCTCAGATCAAATAGTGGAAGAAAAAGAAATGTAGCCGTGTTAGCCTGGTGTAGCTGAAACAAAAAGCAGGACTATGTAGCACTTTAAAGACTAACAAGATGGTTTATTAGGTGATGAGCTTTCGTGGGCCAGACCCACTTTTCTTCCACTATTTGATCTGAGGAAGTGGGTCTGGCCCACGAAAGCTCATCACCTAATAAACCATCTTGTTAGTCTTTAAAGTGCTACATAGTCCTGCTTTTTGTTTCAGCTACACCAGGCTAACACGGCTACATTTCTATCACTTTTTTATAGACAGAGAGAAAATGAGAAAATTAGCAACTGTCCTGTGCCAGTGTGCTGTGACACTTTTGTATTCTTATGTCTCATTTTGTAAGCAAGTTGTTTTTAGTAAGGTGGAACTCAGGGGTACATGAGACAAATCAGATGCCTGAAAGGGGTACAGTTGTCAGGAATGGTTAAGAGATGCTAATGTATGGAAATCTTCGAGCCAGGTTTTTCAGTTCCTTGGGCAAAAAATATTGCTTCAGGTCCAACTGAAAATGAACATTTTTTGAAATTTTCAGTAAACTGAAAAGTGAAAAAAAAAAGAGTTTAGTGTCACACTAAACATTTGGGGCATTTTTAAATATTAAAAAAAAATAAAATGAAAGGCGTTTTGAAATGCAAAGTCATTCCAAGCTGAAAAATTGAAACGTTTGGTTTTGAGAAGGTCAGAATGGATGGGAAACCAGTGCGACTGTGGGAAATGTCATGTGTCTCCCAATTTGCCTTTGTCACTGAAAAAAAAAGTTTGAGAGGAGAACGTTTGCCCTGCTCTGACTATAATGCTGCAGCCCTGCTCTCTGGTGCGCAAGAAATGAAACAGCAGATTTGCAAACGGCTCCAACACAATGGATTCCACGGCCCGTAATCCTCATTTCCAGCAAGGCCGGCGAAGTTGTGCCCTGCATGGCTGGCTGTTTGGTATCTGCTATTCATGTCGCTCCAGTTAAGATGGGTCCACACAGCAGGGCGAAAGTCGAATTAAGCTCTGCCACTTCCTTGCTGGCGAGAATATTGTGGGAGACCGTATCAAAAGCCTTGCTAAAGTCCAGGTATATAACATCCACTGACTTCCCCATGTCCACCGAGCCAGTTACCTCATCATAGAAGCTAATCTATGGACACTCTTCCTCTGGCTTCCCTTACTCCTTGTGAAACGAGGGTTACAGGAGTCAGAGTAAGAAGTCCTCCAGCTTGACGTTATTTCGAAATAATGGTTTGCGGTGGAGATGCGGTGCATAGTGCGGTGCACTATGTCAGCCCATTGCTCCTTGTTCTGCCATCTGTCACTACTGAGAACAGCCTCTCTCCATCCTCTTTGGAACCCCCCTTCAGGAAGTTGAAGGCTGCTATCAAATCCCCCCTCGCTCTTCGCTTCTGCAGACTAAACGAGGGTTGGCTCGTAACAAACACTAATGCAAATGCAGCCGTCAGGGCTGGCGAAGACTGGCCAATGCGAGCGAACCAGCTGAGCATTATTCATTTGCGTTAGTGGCTCTGTCAGGGGTACGGACACGCTGAAAGAGATCAGGGCCCCAGTGTTGTAGAAACACCCAGAGAGGGAAGAGACAAGCCAGGCACGGGGAAGGCGATGACAGGGAGGGATTTGCTGCAGGCCAGTGGCAGAGCTGGGATTAGACCTTGAGTCTCCTGTGTCCTACTTCAATGCCCCAGCATCCTGGGCCCCGCCTGTAAAACGAGGGCTAATCCAGGACCACTGGCCAGCCCACAACCCAGGGAATTACATTCTGCCTGTTTTTTGATTGGATACAGTATTCTTCACTTTGTCCCGCACTGTTGTGTAATGTTGCATGCAGCTGTTAAGCAGTCGTTATGCCCCAGAGGTGGCTGCATTTCAGTGTGGGCTAAGGCCCTGCTCCTCAAAGGTGTTTAGGTGCCTGAGTTGAAACCACAGGGAGTTAGGCACCTAAATGCCAGTCCGGCTCTGGGCCTAAGTGACCCCTGAAGCATTCAGGGATGCAGATTGCTACCTGCAAGTGCATCCCTCTCCTCTGTTCCTGCCCCACAACAGCGAGGAGGCTCCGCTCACAACTGCGGGAAGCTGAAGGTGGGGCACGTGATCCTGGAGGTGAACGGCACGACGCTGCGGGGGAAGGAGCACCGGGCAGCCGCGCGCATCATCGCCGAGGCCTTCAAGGCGAAAGAGAAGGACCACGTCGATTTCCTGGTCACCGAGTTCAATGTCGCCCTTTAGGGAGCTCGGCCGCCCCCGAGCCAAACGGACGGGAGAGCGAGGCCGCCGGGCGCTGGATCCGACGGGGCTTTGGGCAGAGCAGCAGGGCGGGG